TAAGTGACAACACGAAGGAGCAGTCCTTGAAGGACTGCTCCTTCGTGTTGTCACTTACACGCGGCTCCGGAGCCTGCAGGTTGCCGACCCCATGCTCGTGATGGCGAGATGTTAACTACCTCGCCTGGTATACAGGAGGTCGTGGGTTTGATCCCGACCCTGACGCCTGTTGTATATTTGGAGTATGCGTGTCTCTCTCATCATCACCACCACTGTGGCTAGGAGATGTTAACTACCTCGCCTGGTATACAGGAGGTCGTGGGTTTGATCCCGACCCTGACGTCTGTTGTATATTTGGAGTATGCGTGTCTCTCTCATCATCACCACCACTGTGGCTAGGAGATGTTAACTACCTCGCCTGGTATACAGGAGGTCGTGGGTTTGATCCCGACCCTGACGCCTGTTGTATATTTGGAGTTTGCGTGTCTCTCTCATCATCACCACCACTGTGGCTAGGAGATGTTAACTACCTCGCCTGGTATACAGGAGGTAGTGGGTTTGATTCCGAACCTGACACCTGCTGCTGTATATTTGCAGTTTCAGTTTCTCCCTCTCTTCGTGGTCGCGTGGATTTTTCGCCACATTTAGCATCAACATCCACGTGTCTTTGGCCGCTGTATTTTCGCACGCGATGACGAGCCACTTGGTTGAGCTTCTAATTTGCGGCCAGGCCACTTCTGAAAAAATACCCATATCGCTCAGTGGGCCTCAAACGTGGTAAAATACAAACTTTAGTTGAGTGTCAAACCCCATCCGCCGGCAGAGGCGTGAGCGAGCAATTGCGGGGCTGCGCCTTTACCTCACCGTCACCTCTTACACGACCCCCTCTCTCAGCGACTCGGGGGGTGTCTGGTGTAGGGCTGAACGATTAATCGATTTCAAATCGAAATCGCAATTCCAAACAATTGCGATTAGCAAATCGCAAAGGCTGCGATTTTTTTTGCCATTGGAAAAGTCCTATTACGTTCCTAATGGAAATGTTTTATTATTAATTATTATAACTTTATTTATTTAACTTGCCAATTGTTCTATGTTTGACTGTTCTATTTCAATAAAAAATTGTTTATAAATAAATGTTGGAAGCAATTCATATCTTTTAAGTTCTCATCCTTGCTTTAGAATATATAGAGCAGTTCATATCGTGATGGTATCACGTGGTAATGCTCCATCACGTGTTTTTTACATCTATCACACGGTGAATAATGAACTGAAGCTTGACTTTAAAAAAATGTACGTGCAAATCAAATCGCAATATCTGTCAGAAAAATTCCACCAAATCGTTCAGCCCCCTACGTCCGGTGCCACCGGCTGCCCGCCGCCCGTCCGCGTGGCTCTGGCGTTACCGATCCCGTTTCGTGTCGCCGACGTGATGCGGGTAAAGCAGGGCTGGGTCGGGGAGGTTCACCCCCTGCACCCTGCAACACCAGCCGGGCGGGCAAGTGCTTTGCCTTTTGTTTTTTCAGCGCGGCGGCTCGGGAGAGTGCCTGGACACATTGTGTGTGCGCACGCGTGTGTGGTGTGTGCGCGTGTGTGTGGCGCGTGTGGTGTGTATGGTGTTTATTTAAAATTTGCATGTTTTCTCTGCCCGTGGTCACGTCTTTTTTTTTTCTCCGGGTCCATCGGGGTTTTCCCTCCGCATTTTAGAAACGTGCGTTTAGAATATTTGGCTGATATAAATTTCCACGTGATACGACGCTTACATTGGTGGCCAGGTCGATTCTGAAAAAGAGCTACATAGCTCAGTGGGCCTTAACCTTGTTAAATTAAATTAAAAGTTAAGTTTAAATTCTGAACCTAAGTTGTTGTTCACGTGACCTCAACGTGCACATAGCCTGCAGTGTGTAAATATCGCCACCAGGGAGACAAATACAGCCCGGGCGTGGTGCTGGCCACGTTTGTGCCGTGTGGCCGGCCTTGATAGGTGCTCAATAACACAGCAGTTGTCCCCAACAGCACGTGAAGGCGAAAGGTGCGCGGGGTGGGTGTGGGAACTTTGTCTGAGTGTGAACGCGTCTCTGTGTGTGTGTGTACGGCCCCTTCTGTGTGTCAGCATTCAGCCTGTCTTGCGCCTGCCTGTTTTGACCCCCACTCCCCCTCCCAGCCCCCCTCTCTCTCAGCCCCTTCACTCCCAGCCCCCCTCCCAGCCCCCCTCCCAGCCCCCCTCCCAGCCCCCCTCTCCCTCCCTTGTAGCCCATTCCAGCCTTGTGTAGGTCTACAATCTTGTCACTGACATCCTTGGAGAGCTCTTTGGTCTTGGCCATGGTGGAGAGTTTGGAATCTGATTGATTGATTGCTTCTGTGGACTCTTAAAGGGAGTGCTCCTAATCTCAGCTCGTTACCTGTATAAAAGACACCTGGGAGCCAGAAATCTTTCTGATTGAGAGGGGGTCAAATACTTATTTCCCTCATTAAAATGCAAATCAATTTATAACATTTTTGACATGCGTTTTTCTGGATTTTTGTTGTTATTCTGTCTCTCACTGTTCAAATAAACCTACCATTAAAATTATAGACTGATCATTTCTTTGTCAGTGGGCAAACGTACAAAATCAGCAGGGGATCAAATACTTTTTTCCCTCACTGAATGCTCCAGGCCCTGCAGTAGCTTAATTCGGCACTGGTTCTCGGCCGCACCTCGATTCAGCCCTGGGGCTCTGTAAGGCGTCACGAATTCTTCGTCTCAGCCCGGTCTTCAGCGAGTGCACGAACTCATTAGAATTCATACTGTTAAACTCGTTTTCCACTCGATTGTGTTGAATTCCAACTCTGAGACTTAATGCCGGGTTGATGAAGTGACGGACACTCTTTGCAAAGCATTAACAGCTGTGCCCCCTGGGGTGCTTTGAGAGGTGTGTTTATCTGATTTAAGGAGTCCATTGCCCAAGCCAACTTTTCGGATTTCATATCGCTTTGTGATTGCACAGCATTTTCGATGACTTCTATAAAGTGGTTGTTTTCACTCTTATTTATGTTTGCTTCATCTCGTGGTCCTTTGATGTTATTTAGAATTTTGTTATTTTGGCAACCCAGACCGCTCTTGCGAAGACCCATCCTGGTCTCTTTGAGTTCTCACCTCGTTAAAACAAAATCGCCTTGTGCCAGGCTATGTGCATGTTGAGGCCACGTGAACAACAACTTAAGTTCAGAATTTAAACGAAACCTTTAATTTAACAAGGTTAAGTACCACTGAGCTATGTAGCTCTTTTTCAGAAGCGACCTGGCCACAAATGGTAGCGAAACTAAGCGTCTTATCACGTGGAAATTTATATCAGGCAAATACTCTAAACGCACGTTTCTAAATGTGGAGGGAAAACCCGGAGGGACCCGGAGAAAAATCCACATGACCACGGGGAGAACATGCAAATTCCAAATAAACAGCAGGCGTCAGGGTCGGGATTTGAACCCACGACCTCCTGTATACCAGGCTAGGTAGTTAACATCTCGCCTTCACATGGCCTAGCATGGCCAAGATGCACTCCGTATCGTGTTTTTGTGTTGTTTGTTGTAACGTTCTAACCTGCCCCTGCTGGACATCTGTGAAATAAGCTTTGAAGCTCATCGGATTCCTCCAGTATAAGTCCATTTTCTGATTCAAATATCAGAAGTAGCTCTGCAATATCGTCTTCCACGGACCGTTCTTCTTAACGTGGTGCTGTTAGCCTGCTGTCTGTGGGTGATCTGAGTGGGAAATCTTTCAATCAGGACATGACGCGCGAGCGAGGTTATATTGTACCTGGCGAGGCGTAATTGGGGTCAATTCTCACCTTACCTCTTTTTGCCCCCCCCCCCACCCCCGTTGCGTTCCCACTATTGCGTACAAAAATGGGGTGGAGCAGTGGTGCAGTGGTTCGCCCACCGTGCCTATCAATCTGGCGATCTGAGATCGATTTGTGGCCACAGTTAACATCAGCAGTGGTGTTACATCTGGACCTGGCTTGTACCCCCCCTCCCATCCTATTACCAACACACACTGACCAGCGTGGTGAAGTATGGTGAAACAACCCCCACGGTTGACACTAAGAGTGGAGGTCCCCATCTAGCAGTGAATTGACAAAGGGCTGTAATTATATTCTTTGGTTCTTTCGGTAAAGTCACGTAGAGTATAGAATAAAATAAATCACGACGTTTCGAGTGCAACACAAGCGTCCGTCATCAGGTGGGAAAGCTTGGTCTGCTGCTGGGGCAGACTGTTTGCCTGCAGTCACCGAAAGAACCCAAGAGTATAGATTCCTGCAATCACGAAAGTTTCAAATCACGATTGTAATTGTATTATTTTAATAATTGTGTATGGCATCTTCCTGCTCGTTCGGCATATGAGGTGTAATGTCCGTTGCGTGACAGTCCCACAGGTGGTTTTAATTTCCATGGGCGGGGAATATTTCCAAATTAAGCGCAGGACCAAATTTAACGTGACGAGCTTTTTTTATGTGTGTGTGTACGTGCGCGTGTGTGGTGTGCGGGGAGCGGTGGTGTAGCGGTTAGCGCGCTGCGCTACGAACCTAGCTACCCGGATTCGATTCCCGCTCATGGCCAACACCAGTGACGATTAGCTGAACCGGAACTGGGCATTCCCTAGGTCGACTCAGCCTCCAATGAGTACCTGGTGCGAAGTGTAACCATCGCCACTGGGGAGACAAAGGCGGCCGAGCGTGGTGCTGGCCACCCACCCCCTCGTGTGCCATGCCGGCCTTCCTTCATAGGTGCTCGCTAACAGCACTTGCCCCAACAGTCTGTTAAGGCTATACGGGGGATCTTGGTCTTTGACCGCCATCTCACTCCGCTCGAGGAACCAGTTGAAATTCGCACGGGGGCCGCAAACCTGCCTTCAATTCAAACCCAGGATCTCACCGGTGCACGGTCGGCACTCCGACCAACTGTGCCACCTCGGCCGCCCCGATGAGCGAGAGTCGTTTACGAGTGCAATTGTCGTCACCAGCGCAGCGGTCGTGGAACGACGAGCGGAGGGTGAGCGCGGCCGTGTGTTCTTGTGCCCCCGGCAGCGACCCCTACGTGCGGGTGTCTCTCTACGAGCTGGAGGAGAACCGGGAGCTCGTGTTGGTGCAGACCAAGACCATCAAGAAGGTCAGTCGGTGTGCAGGGCCGCGACCCTTGACCGCACAACTCCCCGTGAGCCGAATGGCCGCGTGACGATGCATCGCGATCATCATCATCATTGTCACCGTGAGCCGTGAGCTATAAATTCACTGCTGGATGAAGGCTTTACCAAGCCGTCGCCATCTCTCGCGATTCTGCGAGATTGTAATCCACCCAGCACCATCCCGGCTGCCGCCCTGTTATTGTTATTTACCCATTGGCCATCATCTTATCGTGACCTGTCCTGCCCAAGCCCATGTTTCGTAGCAGTTTGAATTCTGATTCGAAATGATTTAAAAAAATGTGGGTTGGGCCACGAAACGATCCGACGAAATGTGTGTTGTGAAGACCCCCCACTGTCGTGAATCGTCACGTGGTGCAGGCGTTTAATGACAACACCATTTACTAAGAAACAAAACCCCATTAACTATTTTTATTTCACCACTGAGCTATATAGATCGCTCTTTTTCAGAAGTGACCTGGCCACAAATGATAGCTCAATGCAGTGGCTTATCACGTGTAAATTTATAGCGGCCACGTACTCTAAACGCATGTTTCTAAATGTGGAAGGAAAAACTGATTACGGAGAGGACACGGGCGATCTTGTCTTTGTGCGTCTCCAGGTAGTTAACATCTCGCCACCATGATCTGAAACTGTTGTTGTGGAGAGTGAAACTATTGTTTCAGCTCACTGGTGAATTGATAAACATTTCCCCCGACCAAATTTTGCACAATTTGGATATGGCGTTTCGCTTAAACTACGCGCCAAAACATCATCAGGACAGGGTCAGGGAAGTCAGAATAACAATTCAAGGGTGTTTCCGTGTGTATTGTGAGACCATGAGATGCAGCAATGGCTTGGGCAGGCCTTCATTTATCAGTGGATAAGTCGCGCACTGGCGGAGCCAGTGGGTGGGTGGGGTGGCACGTGCCCCACCCCATAGATCCAATTGAAATTCCTAATTTCGACCGGATCATTGGGGTTTATTAGTAATAAATCGGCATTTTGCGACCCCCACTGCCACTGTGTAGCATATTATTATTATGTGCCAGGGACTCTATGAGATGATAGGACAATAGTCTGAGTCCATAATTGGCAATAATTAACGGCAAAGCGGTTATAAGTGACTCAGAATTGTGCGCAGTTGCGTATACAGAGTCCACGACTTCCCTGAAGGCATCAACACCTTCAGCGAGCGCGATGCCGATCACACAACGCGGTTCGAATTCGACCCTCGATCGATGGCTTCGCCACCGCCGCACACGCGGCGAATAAAAACCAAGGGACAAGTCCTTACTTACTAACAACTCCTTACTTACTAACAACTCCTTACTTACTAACAACTCCTTACTTACTAACACCTTACTTACTAACAAGTCCTTACTTACTAACAACTCCTTACTTATTCATATTCTTAGTTTTTTCGGTAAAGTCACGTTGAAGAGAAACAACAAAATAATAAAATATATAAAAAATCAATCAAAATTTTACTCCTTACTTGCTAACAACTCCTCTATCATTTTTCATTGCTGGAGGGGTTGCCCCCCCTACCTGAAAATCCTGGCTGCGCCATTGGGTCACGGATGAGGATGATGATGTGTGCTCACCCTGCAGCCACTAGAGATGCTCCGTGAGCCGCAATGGCTAAACAAATAATAGATTCAATCTGGATTTGAAGCTTATGTAACTGCGGGAATCCACACTCTTTGTTTCTTTCGGTAAAGTCACGTGGGTAGAGAATAAAATGAATCACGGCGTTTTGATCGCAGCAACAAGCAATCGTCATCAGGTGAGGACAAATCACAGCAGGGAAACTCAGCAGTTTCAAACTCAGCCGTTTCCCTGCTGCGATTGTCTCACCTGATGACGGTCGCTTGTGTTGTGATCGAAACGTGGTGATCTATTACTTTTCTACCCACGTGACTTTACCGAAAGAACCAAAGGGTAAGTAATCGATTTTTGCATCGAATTGCGAACGCAATTGCAGATGGCAACGGATCATCGTGCCGCGCGTAAACTGTCAGCGATCCTCCTATTTGCTGTTGTGATCACTGTTATTATTATTACCGTTATTCGTTACGTAATTGTTTATCGCAGTCTCGCATGTAGCGAGCGATTGATCGGCGAGGGTCCTGACCCGCACGCCGTCCCCGGCGAGTCCGTCGCTCTGTGGGTCGCGTCCGTGGTGACAGCGCAGCCTCGACGTGCCACTTGTGTGCTCTTCCACTCTGTCGGAACGCGCGACCAGCATCACGCGCGATGCCGAGTGACGTGCGCTCGCGCGCCCCCTACGCGAACACCGCCCGAACAGTTACGCTAACACGCAGAGACACCAGGAGACAGACGAACACAGCCAAACATCCCCCCCCGCGCGTAGACTTTGACAGGGTGTCGGGGCGAGCGCTGTTCGCGAGCACTTCGGATGCGCCGACTAACAACACGACAGCCGCCGGTGACGTCACCACGCCGCTTGTGCCAGGCTAGGTGCGCTTTGAGGTCACGTGAAGTGTCAAATGTCCGATGACAGGAGATCACGGGACAGACGAACGGATGCACCAAACACACACGCACACTTGCACGCACACACACCCATGAAGGCCGGAGCGGTACACGAGAATGTTGGTGGCCAGCACCACTCCCGATCGCCTTTGTCTTCCCAGTGGCGATGTTTACACACCGCACCAGGTACTCATTGGAGGCTGAGTCGACCTAGGGGAGGCCCAGCACCGGTTCAGATAATCGTCACTGCTGCTGTTGGCCGTTTATCGGGAATCGAACTCGGGTCGCCGTGTTCGTAGTGCGGCGTGCTAACCGCTACACCACCGCTCCCCACCAAACACACACATACTTATACATGTGTGGTGGGCGACATCCGAGACACGCCGAGTAGAAGGCTTCTTGTTTATTAAGAGCACACGGGGCGATACATCACTTAACGCAGCTACGCATAGGCGATCCTAACACGCAGCCCATCCCCGGCATACGCTACGCTCGCTGTCCGACTAGCGCAGCGACGGCGAGGGTCTTGCAGAAGATCGGCCACGTGGTCGGAGACGGAGAGAGATGATGACGAGGAGCGACGCAGCCAGGACCCAGGACCATCAACAGCAAACAAACCTCTGGTTCGGCCCCCCTTATATAGGCCCCGGCGTGGCCAAGCCCCGCCTCTGGCCACGCCCCCTTCCAGAACCTTCGAGCAGGTTCCCGGAGCCTCTGGACTAACTCCGCCTTTCACCTTCACCCCAGACACGCCCCCCTCGTAATAAGGCGTTACGCAATAACCCAATATCCGCAATTACCCCTTTCAGGCCGACAGGTGTCACCCTGTCATTACACATGCACACAAACCCAAGTGGCGTTGCTAGCGAGTGCGCAGTCGGTGCAACTGCACGAGGTATCCACGGTCCAGAGAAGTCCATGGCGCCGGGCGATGAAGAGGGGGTTGGAATTAGGCAGGCGGAGAGGTCTATCTCATTTAATTCCTTGCATCAGTGCCCATGCCAACCGTTCTATGCCACTCCTCACACGTGTGTGTGTGTGTGCGTGCGTGTATTTCGGTGTTTCTTTACAGACACTGAACCCAAAATGGAATGAGGAGTTCCACTTCAGGGTAAGCGTTTGGTTCGTCATCGTGATCCCCCTCGCACGGGCTGCGATTCCTTGACACAGGGCAAGGGGAGGGTTGTCAAGGCCATTCAAATGAACGTTAAAACAAGGAGAGGAGACGCGTTGACCGCGCAGTGAAATAAAACACGTTGATCTTGCAGATACCTCGTGCGGAAGTTGCTGTGAACATGACACCGCCAATACGTGGACGAGATAACCATGGAGCTTAACCTCCTCCATTTTGTAACTCACATTACATGTAACAATTTCACAGCATTATCTCGGTGATATGGCCCAGCGCAAGCGCTCACATCATAGATCGATAAACAAATGGGTACTTTATGCCATGCATACATATGCCGTGCGTGCGTGTGTGTGTACGCCGGGCGATGATGTGGCCAAGTCGGAGCGCATTCACCCCTTGTTGCAGAGGTTCGTGGTTCGGTTCCGGCGGGCCACCCTGGTTAATACGATAATGCACGCGGTCTGCCAGCCAGTGGATGTTAAAGAGACTGTGATGTCGTTCGAAGAAAGGTCGGCCGTTGTGTGCCGGCGTGACTGTCGACATTTTCCTTACTTCCAAAAATTATCCTCACAGGACAAAAAATTGGCAAGCACAGAGCAATAGCCCCCCCCCCCCCCCCCACGGCTCCGTCCCCTTCCACCGCCCCCCTCCCCCTACTGCATAGACTCCCAACGTAGCGTGCTGCGTAACGTGGCGCCGTATAAAGTTCGACAAATCTCCACCAGATCGAACACAGCTGCCACTTCCCCGGGCTCTGCGGAATTCGTAACGCGCAACGGAGCCGTGGCAAGCCACAGCCGCGGCAAGCAACAGGCACGCGCCACGAGGGAAGGCAAGCCAGACGCCGGCGCGTGCAAACTGCCCAAGCTCCGTGGGCCCTGTAATTGGCATGTTTGGCACAAACTGCGTTAAGTGAGTCGGGGGGTGGGGGGGGTGGAACTGGAGTAGGGTTAAGCCACCTGGCGAACGGTGAAAGTGATCTCATCAACCAGCAGTGGATAGATCATGGTTGGTTTTTTTTGTATCATGTTGATGATGATGGTGGTGGCGGTGGAGGTCGATTCGAATCAAAAGGCGCGCGGCTTCGTGAGCGGTGCCTTCGACACCGTTGCCGCTCATCACTCCCTCCTCCAGTGGGTGAATGCCACCTGGTGGGCGATGTGGGCGATGCGCCGCTGTGCCTCTTTACCAAGGGCCCCCCACGTGCCTCTTTACCAAGGGCCCCCCACCGTGCCTCTTTACCAAGGGCCCCCCCCGTGCCTCTTTACCAAGGGCCCCCCACGTGCCTCTTTACCAAGGGCCCCCCACGTGCCTCTTTACCAAGGCCCCCCCACGTGCCTCTTTGCCAAGGGGTCCCCCACCACCCCCGACTGGGTTCTTGACCCGCACTCTCGGGTTACTTTTGATTTACGCAGGAAAGCCTCGCCGAGCCTCATGGCTCTTTTTCAGGAGGGTCCTGCCTACGTTTGTCGCCAGTCGGGGGGGGGGGGGGGGACGATTTATCGTTATGCAGGACGTAGGCGATGCTGGCCTACTCTTGCGACTGATGTCACGAGATCTTGAACGTCCGCCGAGACGCAGATATCGCGTATTGTAGTTTTCATACTTATCACACCGCGCAGTATTAATCAGGGCGGCCGCTGGATTGTAACCTGTGAGGCTCTGCGACAACGAGCGGCGAAAACGCCACCGCTCAATATTCTTACGCTGCCAGCGCTCCGCGTTTTGCCCTGTCGGCATTCTTTTAATTTCTCGCTGTGATAATTGCCCTTTAGGGAATGATTTTACACTAACGGAAAATAATCGATTGTCGAAACCACAACATCCGGTGCGCGTATCACGAACTTAAGAACGTTTGAATCTGTTGATTAAACGATCCATGCCTGGGCATCGCACGCAACAGGTTACTTGGTGCTACTGCTGCGTTGGTAGCAACGGTGCAGAAGAGCAGTCAACAACAACAACAAAATGTCAACGCATTCATCAAGAACACTGTGCCCTTAATTATTTATACATTTTGTAAATTTGTATTATCAAGTTTATTTTCACCACCAAATGGAATGCCTCCTCGTCCCCTCGCCCCCCCCCCCCCACCCTCCCTCCCTCCACATTTCAATGCGTTTTTCTGAACCGGGATCACGAATTTACACCCACGTGCAGATTCTTTGCAGCCCCGCCGGGAATAAAACTCACGAGGGGCTCGGCACTCAAAGCTCTGCACGGATATATTCGCACCTCCGATTAGCGCGGTTGGCTACGTACGGTGCGAAAGAAGTTCAGCGTACGTACATACACGGATCTGTTGCTCTGCCGCCATCTCCTGGACAACTTCTCTGACAGGTGAAGTGATGAAGGATTTTCGTGCCGCAAAAATCCCCATCGGTACCACGAAGATTTTTTTTGCCGGCTCTGGGTGGCACCGATTCTGCTCTTGTCCACGGATTACCTGCAAGTGTAATGTCCATGGGACTCGACTGACAGACTCGTACGGTGGCTGTGTTCATGGAGACGTCTGGTGGTCGGTGAACGTGCAAGTGGTCGTGCTGGCCACAGGGTGGAGCGGTGCGCAGTGTGAACGCAGTGGAGACTCGAAACGCTGCTTCCCATCAAAAACACCGTTTTGAATTAACCAGGTAAGGCCCCACTGAGCTGCGTAGCTCTTTTTTGAGAACCGACCTGGCCACAATTGACAGGTCAACGAAGTGGCCAGTCACGTGGAAATATATGGCAACAGCCAAATACTCTGAAGGCGTAATACTGATTTTAAATGTGGAGGGAAAAAAACGGAGGACCCGTTGAAAAATCCACGCGACCACGGGGGGAGAGAGAGACACGAAAACTCCAAATATACAGCAGCAGGCGTCAGGGTCGGGATCGAACCCACGATCTCCTGCATAGCAGGCGAGGAAGTTAACATCTCCGAGCCAATGCCTCCAACCTCGTGACCGTGCAGGTTCCCCCTCGTCGTCGTCACGACGATGAGCAAGAGGAATTACACGATGCACCCCTGCCACAAGATGGGACGAATTATGATGATTCGTGGTTGCGAGTTGATTCAATAATGCATATACATGCATATACTCGACCCCGTCATAGTAACGTAGAACGCCCGCCACTGTAAGCAGGAGACGAGCCCCGTATCAATGCTCCTTTGAGTAGGAGATCGCTTTGGATCGAAGATAATTGGGGGCAGCAGGGAGCTCTAGGGAGCAGCAACGGCTCTGATGGAACGGCCGCGTGAGGTCTTCTCCACGAAGCGACGGCGAACCGCACAGCAGCAGCAGCAGCCGAGAGCGGGCAAGGGAGTGGGGGAAAGGGAGCGGGCAAGGGTGCGGGCAAGGGGACGAGGGAAAGGGGCAGGGAAGCGGGGGAAAGGGAGCGAGCGAGGAGGGTGTTGAAAAATAAAACCTGGGAGAGGTTGCGAAACGAAGTCCGCACGTACAAGGAGTAGCAGCAAACACGCCCTGGTGCTGGCAGCTCATAAAGAGCGCGCTGGTGTCCCTGCCGTGTTTACGCACCGCTCGGCCACTGAGACTCGATTTTGGTCGGGATATGTTTGGCGCAGGGGGGGGGGGGGGCAGCATATCCCATGAGTGGTATTGTTATGTAAACAATAAGTGGGGGGGGGGGCTGGTTAAACGCCGGGGGTGGGAATAGAGGGGCAGGGTTAGGAGTGAGTTGTCAGTGTGGAGGGGTCAGTTGTCAGTGGCTTGTTGTCGAGTTGGTTCGGGTTTAGGGCTTCGGCTAGGATGTGGATTGCTGGTTAGGGTTAGTGTCAGTGGGAAGGCTAGTGTTGGTGACTAGTTAGTTAGAGTTAGTGTCAGTGGGAAGGCTAGTGTTGGTGACTAGTTAGTGTTAGTGTCAGTGGGAGGGCTAGTGTTGGTGACTAGTTAGTTAGGGTTAGTGTCAGTGGGAGGGCTAGTGTTGGTGACTAGTTAGTTAGGGTTAGTGTTAGTGGGAGGGCTAGTGTTGGTGGCTAGTTAGTTAGTGTTAGTGGGAGGGCTAATGTTAGTAACTAGTTAGTTAGGGTTAGTGTTAGTAGGAGGGATAGTGTTGGTGACTAGTTAGTTAGGGTTAATGTCAGTGGGAGGGCTAGTGTTGGTGACTAGTTAGTTAGGGTTAGTGTCAGTGGGAGGGCTAGTTAGTTAGGGTTAGCGGCAGTGGGAGGGCTAGTGTTGGTGACTAGTTAGTTAGGGTTAGTGTTAGTGGGAGGGCTAGTGTTGGTGACTAGTTAGTTAGGGTTAGTGTTAGTGGGAGGGCTAGTGTTGGTGGCTAGTTAGTGTTAGTGGGAGGGCTACTGTTGGTGACTAGTTAGGGTTAGTGTTAGTGGGAGGGCTAGTGTTGGTGGCTAGTTAGTTAGGGTTAGTGTCAGTGGGAGGGCTAGTGTTGGTGGATAGTTAGTTAGGGTTAGTGTCAGTGGGAGGGAGAGTGTTGGTGGCTAGTCAGTTAGTGTTAGTGGGAAGGCTAGTGTTGGTGGCTCGTTAGTTAGGGTTAGTGTTAGTGGGAGGGCTAGTGTTGGTGACTAGTTAGTTAGTGTTAGTGGGAGGGCTAGTGTTGGTGGTTAGTTAGTTAGGGTTAGCGTCAGTGGAAGGGCTAGTGTTGGTGACTAGTTAGTTAGTGTCAGTAGGAGGGCTAGTGTTGGTGACTAGTTAGGGTTAGTGTCAGTGGGAGGGCTACTGTTGGTGACTAGTTAGTTAGGGTTAGTGTTAGTAGAAGGGCTCGTGTTTGTGACTAGTTAGTTCGGGTTAGTGTCAGTGGGAGGGCTAGTGTTGGTGGCTAGTTAGTTAGGGTTAGTGTCAGTGGGAGGGCTAGTGTTGGTGGCTAATTAGTTAGGGTTAGTGTCAGTGGGAGGGCTACTGTTGGTGACTAGTTAGTTAGGGTTAGTGTCAGTGGGAGGGCTAGTGTTGGTGGCTAGTTAGTTAGGGTTAGCGACAGTGAGAGGGCTAGTTAGTTAGGGTTAGTGTCAGTGGGAGGGCTAGTGTTGGTGGCTAGTTAGTTAGTGTTAGTGTCAGCGGGAGCGAGAGTAGATGCTCATGCCTGATGCACAAATGGAAAATTGAAAATTTTCCAGTAGTGTGCGACTGTGGTCATCCAGAACAGACCGTGCAACATGATTGTAACGACGATCCGCAAATAGGAAGGAGACATCGCAGCGATGCACTCCGCTACTGCTCCTGACGCGGTTATTTGCCTTCACCGCCTAAATGTGGAATTGGAGTTATTATTCTGCGTCTGCAGCAGCAGCCATACAAAAAAGAAGTGAAATAAGAAGTGGAAGGGCGAGTGTTGGTGGCTATTCGGCGAGCTGATTATACGGAGGGCTCGTGTTTGTTTGGATAATGTAGTTACCTTGACGATAACCACACTGGCTTTGGCGGTTCTTAGTTAAAAACCACAAAAAAGATGGGCTGAGTTAAAACCGAAATAACAAACGAGGAACAAACACCTGAGCTGAATGGGACAACAACAAAAAAACACTCCATTGTCCCACTTGTGAGCAAATAGAAAAATACATGTTCTATTTTTAGTGGCGTTATGAAGAAGAACACACGGAGTCACGGGCGGAGCCACAGGGGGGGCTGGGGGGGGGCTTAGCCCCCCCTGAAATGTTGGGAAAGTCGGTAATCGGGATAACCGGATATCCGGCTGCTGCAAAATGCTGCAGGCTGCCACCTTGTGCTGCCACCTTGTGTGCTGCCCTGCAGGCTGCCACCTTGTGTGCTGCCCTGCAGGCTGCCACCTTGTGTGCTGCCACCTTGTGTGCTGCCCTGCAGGCTGCCACCTTGTGTGATGCCACCTTGTGTGCTGCCCTGCAGGCTGCCACCTTGTGTGCTGCCCTGCAGGCCGTCACCTTGTGTGCTGCCCTGCAGGCTGCCACCTTGTGTGCTGCCACCTTGTGTGCTGCCCTGCAGGCTGCCACCTTGTGTGCTGCCACCTTGTGTGCTGCCCTGCAGGCTGCCACCTTGTGTGATGCCACCTTGTGTGCTGCCCTGCAGGCTGCCACCTTGTGTGCTGCCCTGCAGGCCGTCACCTTGTGTGCTGCCCTGCAGGCTGCCACCTTGTGTGCTGCCACCTTGTGTGCTGCCCTGCAGGCTGCCACCTTGTGTGCTGCCCTGCAGGCCGTCACCTTGTGTGCTGCCCTGCAGGCTGCCACCTTGTGCTGCCCTGCAGGCTGCTTGAGCGGCAGCCTTTTGAACTCCGACCTATTAATAAACTCCGCGTTCAAATCCAATAAAATTTGTTTTATACATTTGTGGCGCCCATTGGAAAACATAAACACTGGATATCTCACAATATTGAAGTCAGCCCCCCCCCCCCCCCCCCAAAGTCAAAATCCTGGCTCCGCCCCTGCACGGAGTAGAGAACGTGCAGATGACAGAGACGTCACATTGCCTGTGAAGAAACCCAAGTGGGCTTGGGCCTGACACGTCACTGGAAGAGATGATGGGCAGTGGCTGGGAGTAACGACGGAGTGCCCGGCAGGCAGCCAAGGCCCGCGCGTCTGTCGTGGAGACGGAGCGATGAAGTCGTCCAGTGGTGGAGTCCAGTGGCAGCTTCAGGGCCGCGTTTGAGTCCCCGCGTTTCGCCACCGCCGGGAGTCGCCCCGCTGCTGATGAGCCCCCACGGCCCGACAACGGCAAGCGGACGGGCAGCAAGTGGCGCTATCGAAGGCGCAGGAGATAAAGAGTTGCCGCGTTCCTTCAGCGGAGCAAAAGTTGTTCGGAACTCTGTGTAAAGTAAAAAAAGAAAGGAAAGAGACGACGGGGAACGGACATCCTGAAGTGGAGCGGTGCGAGGGAAGAGACTGATGAGAGACGCGTGGGTGACCTGCGGTGTGGTGGTCGTGTTGGTGGTGAGAACACAGCGTGGTGGATGATATGACACGGCCGGAGTCCGTGGTGGACTGAGAATCAATGAGCGAAGTTCGCGGTCGCAGTGACCACGGTCGGAGCAAGAGAGGAGTGACCAGGAGGCGACTGACCGCCCGGCGAGTGGGCCAGCGAGCGACTCGAGTTCTGGATCATCGATCACCCTGGCTGCTACACTAAGTTGAACTCTATCGGGAGAAGGGAGGTAGGAACGGGGTGCGGGGGAGGGGGGGCGTTCCTCCCCAGATATGGCAGCAGCGTCCCAACTTTTCAATTTGCGTTCGTTGTGCAAAATCATTCCGGAGCGTTGACGAAGGTTTTGGTACGCAAGAGAAAGCCACGCTTCTTCGACGCCTCCTTAGTCAGATGACTAAGACAGCCGTCGTTCCCTGACATGTCAGAGGGGTTAACGGCTTGGTTGAGTGTTGTGGGCAAGGTTTAGGGGGAGGGGGGGGGGTGAGCCTGCAAGTTTGTTTATTTTGTGTTTAGTTCGTTGTCTTTCCCCGCACCTCCGATTAGCACGGTTGCCTACGTGCGATGCGAAAGAAGTTCAAAATACATACAGTTTAACACGTAGGCTTTCGCGACCAATATGATCCATAATAGAGTTTTTTTTTGGGTTAGAACGCGTAAATAATACACGTACATCCAAGCCCCCCGCCCTCTCCCCACCATCCCTGACCGCCTGCCCGACTTCCACCGCCACTCGCCCCGTTTCCATCGGCCACTTGGCGCGATTCGGGGCTCTTCCAGGGGAGGGCCGTCTCACGTCGTTGCCCTGGACGGGTGCCTGCCGTGTGGCGGGGCCGGTTATTGCTGACGAGTTGCAACAGGTGGATCCTTGCCCCCCTACTACGTCCCCCCCCCCCCCCGCAGGCTGATACGCACCCAACTTAAGCACAGCCACAAACGCGTGCAACTCTGGTTTTAATGCCACGGACGCAAATATATTTTTTGTTGAAATAAAAGTCCGCGTTCTCGTTCCCGGCTTTGAATCCGCAAGTGGCTCTCGAGTGCGGCGCGTTGTCTAGGCCCAGTCGCCAAAGACCAATGAAAAAGAAAAGTCATCATCGCATTCAATTTGGCGCTGCACTTAAATCGGCTGAATTCCAGCCCCTGAGAATGAAAGTACCGGATTGTCTGTCATGCGACGAGCATTATTGTCGTATGGCAGACTGAGAGTGGGGAGTGCTGCCCTCTCAGAGGTAGCTCTGTGGTGTCCGCTTCCGCGGGTCCCGGCCTCTCGTGTGAAGGGTTCGGGCTGCTCTGTGAGAGATCGGAGTGGACACTTAGTGTCATGACGCGATGCCCATAGTGCATTCGGGTTTAAATTTGGGGAAATTGACAATAATAATAATAATCACTTTCCCCCACAAGTTTCTTTTTATTGGAACGATAAATGTAATTCATTCTGGTTTTGATGAATTAAAAATGTGTGAGTTTGGCAGTATCGCATAAAAAAATACGGTATGAGTCAAACTTTAAGCTTGTAGCTGCCACTCCACAATACTGCGAACATATTTTTTACATTTCAATTTTCACTCCTGCCCTCTGAAATGACAAACGTGTTTTATTGGGATTTTTTTTTAGTTGGCATTCGTCAGCTTTTCTGGATGTTTCGGTGTAATGCATTTATCTCACGGCATAATTTGGGTCACGCAGGTGGTGACATTTCCAGAAGGAATGGTTCCGCTGTGAGTCTTGCAGCAATTGCTTAAAGATGCACGGCTCGGGCAAATCCCATGACATCGTGGTCCAAATTTGAAAAATTGCTTGCAAACGACGTACGTGATTGGGGAAACAAAGCGATCGTTATCCCCCCTTACTGAAAACATGATTGATACTTTCATGAAGAAGTCTTCAGATTCAGTGGACCTTTCCTGGGTAAAAAAATATTATCATCATAATAACAACAATAGCAGTGAACACAATGGACTTTCCATCCAGAGGTCACCCGGTTCTTCTAGATCTCTCTCGACGTGGAAACTATTTATTTAGCGAATGCTTTTACACGTGACTTTAACACAGAGCACGAGATACACAAGGGAAATGTATTAATTACATGTGTATGTATTTCGATGTTATATGCGAGTGGATGTGAGCCCACGCCACAGAGCAGATGTGACAGCCTCCTCCTCTAGCACGTGCCGGAGGGCGAAATTAAAACATTGGTTAAGATTGTTAAAATGATTGTGCAGAGTTGAGTTAGGGTCACCGGGTCACTCATCGTCCTGTTCTCGTCGTCTCCAGGTGGACCCACACAACCATGGTCTCCTGTTCGAAGTGTTTGATGAAAATCGACTGGTAAGTCACGGACGGACGACTTCATATTCTTTGGGTCTTTCGGTAAAGCCACGTAGATAGGTTCAAGGAAAGAAACCAAAAGAACGCGGCGTCTCGATCGCCGCTTGTGTTGCGATCGAAACGTCGTCGTTTTTTTGTTGTCTTCTTTGAACCTACCTAAGTGAAAAAATATTGACTTAAAGCTTTCGCGACTGCAGGGATTCATATCCTTTGGGTCTTTCGGTAAAGTCACGCGGATAGGTGGAAAGAAAATAACAAAACACTACGACGTTTCGATCACAACACAAGCAATCGTCGCATTGCGGTTGTGGGGAATTGAAGCGGTTGTGGGGAATTGAAGCGGTTGTGGAGAATTGAAGCGGTTATTGGGAATTGAAGCGGTTGTGGAGAATTGAAGCGGTTATTGGGAATTGAAGCGGTTGTGGAGAATTGAAGCGGTTATTGGGAATTGAAGCGGTTGTGGGGGATTGAAACGGTTATGGGGAATTGAAGCGGTTGTGGAGAATTGAAGCGGTTATAGGGAATTGAAGCGGTTGTGGGGGATTGAAGCGGTTATGGGGAATTGAAGCGGTTGTGGGGGATTGAAGCGGTTGTGTGGAATTGAAGCGGTTGTGGGGGATTGAAGCGGTTATGGAGAATTGAAGCGGTTATGGGGGATTGAAGCGGTTGTGTGGAATTGAAGCGGTTGTGGGGGATTGAAGCGGTTATGGGGAAGTGAAGTGGTCACGGGGAATTTAAGCGTCTTCCCCGCCACCGGCACACTTGACCGCTGTATTCGTGAAACGTCGGAGGGGTTGGTTAAGGGCGGGGGCCACAGAAGGTGAGGCGAGGGCGGTACGGGGAGAAGAGGAAACGGCGGCGGATTTTGGCGAAGCTGTGCAACAAAATAAAAAAGTCGAAAAATGCCCCGTGCGTGAATCTAAAACAGCGGCTGTGTTCTTTTTTTTCTTCTTCCGCTGCCTGTTTTCTTTTTCTGTCGGTTTGGCAGCCTACCCCCCCCCCTCCTCCCCATTTCAAAAAAATAAATTTTGTATTAAATTTTTTTTCATATTTGAAAAATGTTTTTCCACCGCTGCGTGGACGCGGTCCTGCCGTGCCGTAGGTGGCACTGCGGTGGCGGGCGGGGGGGGGGGGGGCGACTCGACTCGGAATCAGAATCTGTATTGAGACTGGAGGAGGAATCTGATGAGCTGTAAAGCTCTTTTTCACAGATCTCCAACGTTACAACAACAAACAGTACAAAAACATGATAGTCGTGCAGAGTACAAGAAAGACAAACAAATCACCCAAACAAACCAATACAACACTAAACCATCCCCAGCCTACCAGGCGAAGCCCATTGTGGTATTAACTAATTTTTCAGAAGCGACCTGCCACCTTGATAGGCGTGTAGGATGAACAATAAACCTTGCCCCCCCCCCCCCCTGCCACTCCCACCGCCACTAAAACTCACCATGAACAGAGATGGAATGTGAACCAGCTGAATGGACTTTTGAATGAATGTGCTGCAACCGTGACAACTCTTGCTTTGCATTGGCTGTCGTGGGTAAAAATAGTCGCCGGTAAAAATGCATCCTCTTATCCACGGAGCTAAAACTGAGGCTCCTTGTGTGCCCTCTCCCCTCGGCTCGCAATGTAAGTGTGTTGAAGTTTTTTAGTACTGTACGTAGCCAACCGCGCTCATCGGAGTCGCGGGAGGAGGCCAACAAACGAATCCAGATTTAAAAGTGGCTTCCCAAAATCGGAAGTGAGAGCGTTCCAGACGGCCGCGGAAGCGCATCTGAAAGCGCGCGCGATGCGGTGACCGTCTTTGTTCGATGGCCAGCCAGAAGCCGCTGCCGCGAGGATGACCGGAGTGTCGCGTGATGATTTATGCTCCATGACGAGATCAGCGAGCTGTTGTGGGTTCGATTGTGGCGAGCACTTTGTCTGTAATGAGTGCAACCTTACAATAAGCCAATGCAGCTCAGCGAGCACCGGACGGACACGGTTGGATCTTTCAGTAGCCGTCGCGACACGTGCCAGAGAATTTTTGTCCACGCTTGAGCTTGGTAAAGGGTTTGCCAGACGTCCCGTAGAGTAGTGAGTTGCAATAAGTAGTGAGTTGCAATAAGTAGTGAGTTGCAATAAGTAGTGAGTTGCAATAAGTAGTAATCGAGCCTTGTCGATACTACGCTTGAGCTAACAGCTCCTTCAAACACAGAAGACGCTGCTGCTGCTGACTTACTTGTGTTTCACGTCTGTAGCTATCACCTCTGCCGCCAACCCATGCTCCCCAACCCCCACCCATGCCCCCCCAACCCCCACCCATGCCCCCCAACCCCCAACCAGCCCCCACCCATGCCCCCCCAACCCCCACCCATGCCCCCCAACCCCCACCCATGCCCCCCCAACCCCCACCCATGCCCCCCAACCCCCAACCAGCCCCCACCCATGCCCCCCCAACCCCCACCCATGCCTCCCAACCCCCACCCATGCCCCCACCCATACCCCCCAACCCCCACCCATGCCCCCCAAACCCCACCCATCCCTCCCAACCCCCACCCATGCCCCCCAAACCCCACCCAACCCCCACTCAACCCCCACCCATGCCCCCCCAAACCCCACCCATGCCCCCCCCAACCCCTACTCATGCCCCCCCAACTCCCACCCAACCCCCACTCATACCCCCCCAACCACCACCGAACCCCCACCCATGCCCCCCAAACCCCACCCATGCCCCCACCCATGCCCCCCAAACCCCACCCATTTTCATTTCAGTTTTCATTTATTTGGTGTAGCCCTGTGAGCCATTCGGCTCTTGAATCGTGTGCATCCGCAACAAACAAGCCCCCGCCCATGCCCCCCCAACCACTACCCATGCCCCCCCAAACCCCATTCATGCCCCCCCCAATGCCCCCCCAACCCCCACCTGTCCAGTTCCCCCGTTGCAATGTCGGTCACCATCCACCGCTTGTAAATCAGAGACCCCGCCCCCCGCCTGCCACCTACGGGCTGGGTCACGGCATCCTCTGGGATTTGGGGTGGGGCAGGGGGCACGGAGTTCTGACCGCGCCGTGAATCGACCTTAATCCCACGTTGGCAAGTGCCCGTCTCGTGCTGCGAGAGACACTGCGTCTCGCACAGACACAGCCCGGACACACACACAGCGTCGCGCATTCACACACACACACACAGACACACAAGACAAAGGTAAAAGATTCCCCCCGTGTAGGGGCAAGTGCTGTCAGCGAGCACCTACGAAGGCACGGCACGGCACACGAGGGTGTGGGTGGCCAGCACCACACCCGACCGCCTTTGTCTCCCCAGGGGCGATGTACACACACCGCACTAGGTACTCATTTGAGGCTGAACCCACCTAGGGGTGGCCCATGACCGGTTCAGATAATCGTCACTGGGTGTTAGCCCGCGAGCGAGAATCGAACTTGGGTCGCCGGGTTCGTAGCGCAGCGTAGCGCTAATCGCTGCGCCACCGCTCCACACACACGCTCACATACCCACCCACGTACCTTCCCCCCCTTTGGAAGCCCCTTTCCCGGCTGCGTCCACTGAATGCCTCTCACTCAATACCGATCGGGGGCCCTTTGCTCAGATTTTCCGACTGCGGTTTTTTATATATATAATAAAAAATAAATCCGTAGCAAAAAAAAATCTTCATAAATGGTACCTGTGTGTGTGTGTGGTTATGAACGTGTGCACGAGTCCTGGGCCGTATTTGCGTATGTGCGGAGCGGTGGTCCAGTGGCTTGACATCCTAGGTTCGATTCCCAACCTTGTTCAATAGCAATGTAAAGTGTCCTAGGCTGCCCTTTGACCCAGCAGACATACTAATAGAGAATGCTGTGTGTGTGCGTGCATGTGTAATGAGCGGCGGCGAAGTGGCTATACCGTGCAACGCTACGAACCCGGGCAACCTGAGTTCGATTCCAGGCCGCGTTGTCTATCTGGGCCTCCAGGCACCTGCTGCGGGGAGATAAAGGGGGCCGGACGTGGTGGTGGTCACAGCACCCACTTGTGTGCTGTGCCGGCCTTAATAGGTGCTCGCTAACTACGTTAGCCTCACTGGTCTGTTAGGATTACAACGGGGGACCCGTGTGTGTGTGTGTGCTTTTGTGCGCGTGGGTTGAACAGCTGATGTGTTGGTTTGAAATCGAGTTTGCTGCCAGGCAGAGAATGTAAGAGTGGAGACCTTCCTGTCCAAGGCTGGCGAGTTCGGCGGGTGGCTGCGGGAGTTGGCCTCGTGGCGAACATCTCAAATTCTGCCAGGCGAATTGTCGAAGCGGCGGTGGCGTTACTCCAGCGGCCCCCACGGTTTGAGATGGGCGACCGCGGTTGTACTGTGCGGGCTGTTCTTAATTTTGCATCTGCGCAGAGGATGGCCGCATCTGCCGCGCGACGCTCCGGCGCGGTTGGATACGGCCCTTTGTTTGTGTGACTCGCGCGGCAGAGGGGCCTCGGCCGCGACGATGCCTTTGCTTGGTCACTGCTCCTTGTTCGAGCAGCAAAGGGTCGGGCAGACAGAGCACACACGCTGGGAAGCAACTTCATCCTCCACTGGCTCCCAATGCAGAGCCCGATCGTTTTCAAGACCGCAATCACGGTCTCCAAGATGCTCCATGGACTGACCCTTGCCAAGGGTGAGTCCACGCACTCCCCTACCTCTCATCTCACTCTAGTCTCCTCCACGCACTCCCCTACCTCTCATCTCCCTCTAGTCTCCTCCACGCACTCCCCCACCTCTCACCTCCCTCTACTCCCCTCCGCGCACTCCCCTACCTCTCATCTCACTCTAGTCTCCTCCACGCACTCTGTCTTTTCCTGTGTCTCAATCTTTGCTGAGTGAGAGGTCGCCCATTCTCCTCTGCTGCCTCCCAGTCTGGAACTCACATCTCCCAGCCATCCGTGCAGCCGAATCCCTTGCCCCCCTTTTCAAGTACAGACTCAAGACCTTCCTTCTTCCCTCTGCATGTCACCGAGTGCTTCTCTCCATTAAAAGAAGA